TAACGAGCTCAAGAAGAGAATTTAATCAACTCTCCCTACTATATCATAACAACGAGGATGTCTCAATGATATTTTATTAAATTTTTATTTTATGAAACACCTATGATATATATATATATATATATATATATATATATATATATATATATATTAAATGAAATTGTAAGCTGTATAGGTATGTAATATTATTAATTTTATATAAGACAACAACGCTTAAAGATTTATTTAATATTTTTAATTTTTTTTATTTTTAAATCACTAAATAATAAATGTCACACAAACGCGTGTGGAAAAAAAGAACACTAGACCTAACCTCTCGTCATCACGGCTCGTAATCCACCGCCGTCATTTTATTTATGAAATGAATACGTAGCAATAAAATATAATGCATTTATACTATACAGACATACACATAACATGTTTATTATTATATTCATAAACACAAATACTTATACGCATATTTCCAAATGGTGGCGGTAGTTTGTAATATAAAACGACTTTGAGTCAGAGCGGTGGATCGATAGTCGCGGGGAGGAGTGAGCAGACTTTGGTCTTGGGCGTGCGGAAAAGACTTTGCTTTCAGTTCGTTCCCAGCAAGTACGACGGCGGCGTCGGTGGCGGTTAGCTAGAGTACTCTTGCGACGCCACACACAGTTCTGCTATGCGTCGTCATCGCCGTTGCCGTCGGTTTTCAAATGAACGGTTGTGGAGACTCAGCAATTGATATAATAATAAAACGATCGAATACGACGACAGCCAATCGTAGATAGAGGAATACTACATGGTGTTGTGTATATGTATAATATAATACATAAACATATTTCAAAACACGATGACATAAATGCAATAAAAAAAAAAATACGAAAAACCCGTTGTTCACGGCGCGGAAATAATTTTTTTCTATTGTTCCTTTTGATTCCGTTTGGAATGTTATTATTTTTTTGTTGTTTTATGATTTTCCGGCAAATATATAACGTTATCAAACACGTAAAATGTAATGCGTTTCAAATACAAATGCGATGTTGGACAACCAAATCTCATAGAAACAACGATAACACCTTATACGTATATTACACATACATGTATATATTATTATATAAGATTTTTGCGTATATTCACGTGAATTTTAAATTAGATGGAATAAATATAAAACCTCGCCATACGATAGTTATAATATTTTCGTAATCTATCAGCTTATATAAGTATATAATACAAATTTTTTAATTAAAATAAATATATTAAAATCGTTCATAAATTCGGATAATATACTTTTGGTGTTCATCTTTCAAAATATTATTTTTCACACTGAGTCGTTACATTATTTTGACCTATATTTCGTAAAACCTAAATATTACAGATACACGTGTGTTCCACATGCGTTTCTATACATACGTCACGTTATATTATTCAGCTTGGCATGCTTGTTTTGTTAATTCTATCACGTGCATAATTATGTATGGATTTTTACACATTTGTCGAAGAATTCAAATATAATTAAGAATAAATATTTCATAACAACCTATACTATCACAATTTTCTAGATATTTACAAAGAAAAATATTATATGCATACCCAAAAAAAGTTTTAAGTGGAATTAAGATAGTTTATAAGAAATTGAAATATTTTAATATCTTTTATATCAAACCAGTGTGTTAAAATTGGATATAATTTAACTTCTTGTCATCATTAATCCACAGATCAGTAAACCATGATACCACACAGAAAATATTACTCTACTCTTAAGCCTGATACTAAAGAAACTTGAAAAAATATTAATGTAAATACTTTAAAATAATTCCTACAAAAAACTTTTTTCTTATAATCCTTTCTTACTCGGCTTTCTTATAACACTTTTAAATAATCCTTTTTGAAGATTAAATGAAACAAAATTTACCATAATATTAAATTTAGCAGTTCATATAATATTATTTAAGTACTTAATTAAGTTAAAAATTATAAGACATATTTTTATTCACGGTAATATAAATTTGTATGTATTCAACATTTTAGATTCTGAACGGAGTGATGAATGTATTGATTTTACAATGATGTTTGTTTTTTTTTTTGTATGTGTCTGTGTACAGCATAAGTAGTCGAAATAATACTTCAATTTCACTCTTCGGGGGTGGTTTTCGATGGCAAAGTAAATATCCTTGGTGTATTATAGAGGTAAAAAGTAAATATTTTCCAACAAAAAAAAAAAAAATGATGGAAAAACGGGAATTTTTACGCAAAACCAGTTTTTGACAAAATCGATATTTTTATATGGTTGTAATTCAAAAACTAATCACTGACCACTGTAAATATTTGAAATTTTCACCAAATGTTTATATTAGTGTTATCTATATACAGTTAAATTTTCAAAAAATTTTGACTTTTTTAAGTTATTTATAGATCACTAAAATTATCAATTTTTATGAGAATTTTTTTTTGAAGTGTCGATAAAAAAATTTTGGATGACTAAAAAATTATGAAAATGTAATACAAGGTTCCTTATGATGTGTTCTTATTATAGCCAAAAAAAAATTAAAAATCGTTAGTCACAATTTTTTTTTATAAACGTTTATAGTTCAAATATTTACGAAATCTATCAAAAACGCGAAAATTTGTAAGTAATTTTGAAGTTGAAAAATCATAAAATGTTTTGTGCTTATAACTAAGGATTAAAAATACTACACTATGTTTTCCCTAAGTTTTCCTTCAAGTAGCTATAGTAAAAATTCAAAGCATCGTTATAGGAAACATTTTAAGTGCGTTTGAATTTTAAATTTTTACGAAATAACGTAACAATAACGATTTATCCTCAAAAGATTTTAAATATTTGTTAATATTCTAAAAGTATAAGTCGTAGATACTTGAAAATTTTACCAGTTATTTAGATTGGAATTTTCTTTACATGATTTAATTTTCAAAATATTTTGACTTTTTTTTTTAACTATTTATAGACAATTGAAATTTTCAATTTTTCTGAAAATTTGTTTTTGAAGTGTCGATAAAATTTTTTTAGCCCAGTTAAAATACTTGAACATTTAATACAAAGTTCCTCATAAATTATTCTTATAGTGATCAAAAATTTTTAAGAATACATAGGCACAATTTTTTTTTTTTTTTAGCATTTGAAGTTCAAATATTGACAAAAATTCATCAAAACCATGAATATTTGCAAACTATTTTGTAGGTATAATTCATGAATGCCCATGAATAACATTTAAAAAATAATTAAAATCTATTAGTGCTATGGGTAACCACGATGTATAATACATAACAAATTCCATAACACAAACGTAACAATATTGCATAACCGAGACGCCGCGCACGCTTTCATTGATTTTTATTACAGAAATGTCTCATTTTCTGTATACAAGTAGATCAGTAAATGTTATTACTAAGTTGTAATAAGTTATACGTAAGTTATAGTTATAACACAACACATTAAAAATAAACATTTATTTTATTTAGACACAAAGTTTTTACCATGTTTATATTCATCAAAAGCTTATTAATCTTCTATATTTTACAAAAAAAAATAATAATAATTTAATCGAAAATGATATCTATTTTTAAAATTATAAGACATCCTTAAAAAAAATATAACTACAAATAATATTTTCAAAAATATGATAGTTATATTCATATATCTTGTGAATGTCAATTTGTAATCATAAACATAACAATTTCAAAATGCTTAAAAAAATATTTATAAAATATTTATAATATAAAATTATATGTTTCTTAAAACGTTTTCCATGTTGTAAATATATTTTTACAATTTAAAAACAAAATATACAAAATTAATGATAATTTTACGAAGAATGTGAAAATATAGTTCATATTATGTAAAAATAAAAATTTGGGAAATTATTCTATTGTTGATTATGTGTCGAATACTCAAATGTACTTCGCTATTGAATAGGTTACATTATTAAAGTATTAAATTTAAATTCAATGATAATTATTATACACAAAATTTATTATGAGTGGTTTACACGCTAATATCAACGTCTACCAAAAAATATCCACCAATAAATTCATGTAAATTCAATAAGTCCACTCTAATTACATATAACATTTAATATAAATAGAAACTTTTATTTCGTCTAACATCTACTAAGAAATACATTTTATATACCTAATATAATTAAGTATTAAAAGCATAAAATATAATATGATATTAGAATTTTTTAGCTCGATTGATTTTAAAATAAACCAGCTCACCGCCGATGACATTTACGGGAATTTATTTTTCATATATGATTGCAGTTAATTAATATAAATGGTATTAAATATCAATAGAGGACAAAAAAATAATATAATTAGAAGTGAGTAGTTTTAAAACATTTTTCGACAAGGTGTGTAATAACTGTATTTAAAAGAGAAATCAATGGCATCATAATTTATTTAGATATTTTTATGTTACTGTTTAGAATTAAATTAAGATCTGGAAAAGTTTTAATGGCGATATTGATGTTGTATAGATAAATGGTTAATGGTTATTAACAAAAACTTATGAGTATGAGTCATGGACTTGGTTATAGATTTTACAGCAGTTTTATGTAACCGGGGATTCATATTTAGGAAGGTAGTTTTTTGTTTTAAGGTTAACGACAATGTTGAAAGTCCTTGTGAATTTGGCAGTCTCTAAAATTAGCTGAGTGGATCCCCCCTTACATAAATTTGGAGAACATTTATATTTTAAACAAGAAGTTGATAAATAGTTTTTAACGCATCTTGACTAATTAGATAGAAACTAACTTTTAATTAAAAAATAAACTCATTTTCATAATATGAAATTACATACTCCTATCATACCTACAAGATAAAACATAAAATAAAGTATAAAATATTTTATTAATAGAATGTTGTTAAACATAAGACTATCTTATGTGTGTATCAAATTAATAATGAAATTAAATATTTATTTGGTTTTAAACTAAAAATAAAAATCTAGTAAATATACTAAAAGATTTAGTGATTTTAATTGTACTATATAATGTTTCTAGGTAGTTATCAAAACGTCGACGTAAAATTGAATCAAGATATGCTCCCAGGTAATCGGTTTGAATGTTTAGGCTAACTAGTAATGTAAAAATATAACCTTGTACATAATCCTTGTAAAAATACACTAGATAAGAACCGTTTTTAAACTTAGTTCTGGTTTTAAATGATTTGTTTATGTTATTAGAGCAACCTATGCTCTTTAGAATGACAAAGTTCAGCATGCCGATTTTTCACATTTCAACTTGCATATTTAAAAGAAACATGTATTTTGGTTTTTATATGTATATGTATATATATATATATATTAAGGGTCTATGATTACAATATATTTTTATGATTTAATTCTAGTATATATTTACAGGTTAAGATACAAAATAATATTGGCGGAAATATTAAATGTTTAAATAATGATTGGTTAGGTACATAAATAAATAAAAATCATCGTTGCAATCAAAACGCCAAATGTATTGTCTTAAGTTGAAAATCTACATTAAACGAATGTGTACATTTGATACTTTTAATAATAAATATTAAATCTTCACAAAAATACGAGATATAATTATCAAATTTTGAAACAATAGTTTATTTCAGTTATAAGTATAGTTCAAAAAATTAATATAAATATATAATAATATATTTTTTTTTTATAATGACTTCAAATAATATTAGAATAATATTTCCATAAACTAAAATGCTTTTAAGATAATAAATGTTAAACTTTTAATATGTTTTAAATGTTAACTGTTTTCAGTAAAATATGAGAAAAATGTCACTGCATTTAAAATTATAATGTAAAAAATTTAGACAAAATTGTACCAAATGAAAATTTATATTTTAGTTTTATTATAAAATAATGAAGAGTATTTATAATTTTTAAAATTCAATTATTAACTTGATTTTAGTAAATTTTATTATTGAAATTGAATTTTTTATTTAAAAAACAAGTAATTTATATTTACAATGCATAATGAGATTGTATTAATACTAATAATTCATAATAATTTTATGAAAAAAATATAAGAAAGCTTATAAAGCATTATAAATTAGTTATGGGTTATTATTTAGTTAAAATTATGAGATATAAAAATAAAAATTTTAAGTTAGTGAACATTTTTAACTCTAAAATATAGTGGATTAAATATGTACGTATACGTTTTTATAATTTATCGTAATTAAAATGTTAAAACAGCGTCTTTTTTAAACTTTATATTTATAAATAGTCATAGTAATTTTTCCTATATTAAAATGTTCTTATTTAAAGTTAATATACTATTCAAATAACATCAAACTTATTATTTTATTTTATTAATGAACTATGTAAACAAACACTTGTTGAATATACTTGGACCTAATTTAAATCTCACTTTAATACAATTTAAAATTGATTTTTAACTCATGTTTTGTCTTGATTTTATAATAATATTTGAACCATTTAAATAGTTCATTACATATTAGCTATTCAATATTTAAATATGTCTAGGTATATTTTATCTTTTTGCACTATATTATGAAATTCCCCAAAACATAATTAAAATATTAATATATCAATTTAAACATATATTAAGTTAAAATTGTAGACGCATAGCAAATATTATCTTAGGTTTTATTCATTTGTTAACTATTAAAATGTATGGTTTAAAGTAAGTTTACCAAGTTATATCCAAAATAAATTAAAATTATCTCCAAAGAGAAGAACTTTAATATATTTCCTTTATGAGATCACAAAGTATTTATAGTAAATAAATTTTTATTTTGCAAAAAATGCATATAACAATGTTTATTGGGTTTTATATTTCTCAATCTTACAAGTTAATGCTTTTCAAGGTATATAATATATCAATAATTATTATATTAAACATTGTAATATAATTATAATTTATGTTTAATAGCGTGTCAATGATTTATACCTACCTAGTGATAATAATTATTTCAATTACATTTTATTTTTTAAATAGCCATTTCTTTAATCAACTATATCTAGTAAGATTTTTTGGTTTATTTTTCTCAAAATAATAAATGTCGACTTTTATATGTAATGCACTTAATTTTACAATCGCCTGTGACAATCTATTTGGAGAATTAGAAATTAAAAATGCGAGAAAAACTTGACTAGCGCTAATGCGCCATACAATAAAATAATAATAATAACAATTAATAGCTTAAAGAGTTTTTAGAGATGAATGAGTTCCAAAAATAATATTTGAAAAAATTACGAAAAAAACATTAAATTCACCGTAACAAATAAAGACCATTCAAATATTTATGTTTCTACTTGTTCACAAACCGTTAAATAACAAACAAACAAACAAACAATTAAAATGTTTTGGTTTTTCCTTCCATTCTAAACAAATATAAACATAATTTTGTTTATCATATGTTTATGATTGTTGCTTGTGATTTAACCAATTTAATATGTCAACAAAAATAGGTACGTTAGTCAATAATAGCTATATTATGTACAGAAACAGAATGAATATCCATTAGGATTTTGTTTCACATGATATGATGAAAATATAATCAAAACTAAAGTCATTTTTACTACGTAAAACCTATAAAGTTATCCACTTATGGGTTGCATTATTAAATAATATAAGCAACTAAAATTTTCTACGTACACAGCTTATAAATACAACATAAAACAAAATATTTATGGAATTATTTTTATATTCCCTCGAGAGCTTATAGCTGTATATCCTACTCATATTGACCTATTCTAATAATATCTTTCTTTAATTCAAAATATAAGCTAATAAATCACGAAAATTCAACGACAAAAATATCATGAAGGTGGTGGGAAAAGGCCCAAAAATGTTGCACAATAACAGTATATTTCCAATAATATACCCTTATAATAGATGTTATATAAACTAATTTTCGACAAACTATTTATAACCTGCTATTTAACCCTTGAACAGGTAGTAGTAACACTCATAAGTTATTCATGCGAAGCCTTTTAATTCTTTTTCTTATTATATTTTTAACCCTTAAAACTAGTTTTTTATAAAATATAACAACGCGACCTTTTTGAAATGACATAATTACTATTGCCGTTATAAACTTAACATTTATTATCAACTATGTCAATCCATACACTTTGATAATTGAAATTGTATAATGAATAATTAAGAAAATAATGTAAAAATTATTATTTGTGTTTCAAGTCAAAAATTATATTGTCAAATTTATAATTTAATAAAATATAGAACCTCTGGTTGTAAAATATAGAAATAACCTCAAATATTTTACAATGTACCTACTTTCTACAACTAAAAAAAAAATTATTAAACAATATGTAACTTATCATCTAGTTGTTACAGATATAGTTGAAAATAATGTTTTCTTTTGTATGATTTTTCATAAATTTAATATGATATTTAATATTTTGTTTAATTATTAATAACGTCTAGTTGCTAAAAGTTGGCTGAAATTTATAAGATACATAAAGATACATATTTAACAAATTCGTAACAGTTAAGAAATATTCCTTAGATATTCTATAGTTTTTTATTTAAAGTATACCTAATATTATTGTATTACATATTTATAAACAGAATAGTATTTTAATCGTTTAGATATGGGATGTACGAAATCTATGTTATATTCGTACTTCATATCACTAAGATAAAATAAATAATTTTATTTACCTAAACTCAATCAACATAACATAAAAACTGTTATTATTTTCGGATTCAACTCGTATGCAACCATTAAATAATATTTATAATTTTTAAAACCAAAATTTTAGGATTAGAGTTGACGTATAAAGTATGACGAACATTAAACATAAATATTCATAATATTTATTATTATTAATTTTTTAATTATAAATTTATTGTAATTATTATTAAAATCCAAGAATATTTATTCTCTAGCAACCATTAAATTTAGTAAGTAAGGAAAATCGCACCTTATATACGAATTGTATCATTACGTAAAATAATATAACATTTACTACATTGTTGTTAACCTCGGTACTACCCTCACATAATAATAATCTTTATAGTCATTATTATATCATATTCTATAATTTTTAAAAAATTTTATCGTGCCTTAAATTATGACTCATTCTTTTAAATTAATTAACGTTGAAATAAGTTGTGCTAGTCAAAAATGGTAAAAATTAGTGCCTAACTACTAATTTAATTGTTACAAAAAAAACTCATACATTTTTTATTAGAATGTTTGTAATTTAATTAGAATGGTTAGATTCGATCTTATTCATTACTATATTTAAATATATGGTAATTTTATTTTAGTAACGTACAAGTACAATTATAAGAATGAATAAGTAATTAACAGAATAATCAACTTTTCTCACACCAATAATAATTATAATTTTAGATAAACTAAATCTAATTAAATATTAAGTATCTATTTTAAGTAAAATTAGTTTATTATATTATAAAAGCTATTTAAAAAGTATATTAATTTCAGCAAAGATTTTTCCAAAAGACATTAAAGTACCTAATAAATAAAATTTAGATTATAAAATAATACTACTTAAAATATTTAGTTCATAGAAAGGTATCTATAAAATTTTCAAAAGTTTAATTAATCATATAAAAATAAAATATGTATAAAACACAATAAATAAATCACATGCAAAATATATGTTAATAATTGTAATATTATCTCAGATCTAAAAAAAAAAAATAAAAAAAATTATAATTTATATAATTTTGGTTCTTAACAAAAAATTATGTGTAACCTTCCAATATTAAATAGATTCATAATTTTAAGTTTTTCTCCTAAATTATGTATTGACAAACTAAAGTTATAAATAATTTGTGATCATTTTCACAAAATATTATTTATTGATTAATATTTTTCATTAAAATATTAAATTTAAATTAAAACTAACATGACATATTTAAATTGATACGGTTCTTAATTTTTATTTAATTATATCTAATTATTCATTTATTTATTTTATGTTAAAAACTATAGGTAAGCTATAATGGAATGAAATGTTAAGGTATGGCAACATGAAATATTATAATTTTCAAGTAAAGATATTTTGAAAATTATCATTAAAATACTATTTTTTTTT